ACTTGCTCAGCTGTTATTGGAGCACAGAGCAAAAAGGGGCGGGACTTAGTAAGGGTCAACTGCTCAAATTTAGCATCAAAAAAGGATGTGATATCATGGGTGTGATGCAGGTATTAAAGAAATGCTGAGCAGAGCAATAAATTGCCAGTACAGTATTATTTTAAAGTTACTGTAAAAAATGCATCACTACAAAACTTTTATCTCAAACGCACACAACGCATCCATCCGACATTGTTCCTCGTAAGAGACAATGCAATGCACAGTTGAAGTTGAATTTAAGTAAACTTTGACGTCCAAGTCAGCTTGAGTCGACTGAAGCTAGCAACAAAAAACAAGTGTGTTTGGATTTGTTGGTCACAATGGTAGCTGAAGTGAATTAGTGTTCCCTGAAATGGGTACAAGTGTAACTGTGATTAGGGAAGGACAGCTTGTGACAGCTGTTCCCATCCTGTCTCCCACCCACAACACAGAATTCTTTTAACCACGATGGTTTTCCCTATCATTCACAATGAAGATCTTTCCAACAGACAGAACGTGAACATTTAATGATTCTGCAAAACCCTGGATTATGTTACAATTACAATGTCATGATGTAATTTGTTAGAGAAAAAAGTGTTTTCTTTTGAGACTCCACTAACGGTTGTAATTTTTATTGTGTTTACCATGGAGCACTGATGTTCATTACAAGTTCCGCTGTTTGTACTCATCATTGTGCTCTGTATGACAAGGGGGTGCCCCCACCCCCAGGCTATTCAAAGACTCAGACATTCTAATTTATAAAGCGATTCTTTTACCTCCTTATTTAGGCAACTGTTGAGTTTAAATTTAGATATGATAAAATACTCAAATAACAAATAAGTACACACTATGAGGAAAGGAAAAATCTTCTTTAAAATCAAACTACCGGAAAGTAGGTAGAACATTTCTACTAAAATAAGTAAAAATAATAGTAGTACTGTTGAGTTCAATAAGTTGTTTTTATATGGTAAAATATGGAAAAAGTTTTCAATTTTTTCTTTTTCAAAAGAGACAATTTTACCACATGAAAATACCATATGAATGTTGTATAATAAAAGCCTTTGAGATAGGCCCTGTAGCAGGTCTCGCTACAACCATGAGTCTTGGCAGCACACAAACCCTCACGTACACTTAACTTTTATTTGAGTCTCGCTGTCACCAACACAAACAACACTCAATCTGTTCCGCTACTCTGTGGCTCTCTCAGTAGCATCTCCCTCTCAGGTCCAGCACACTACTGCAAGATAAAGGGTAAGAGTGATTAGGCAACAATTAGCAGCTGAGGTAATCAACTCACCTGGTGCTGCTCTCACAAGCCTTCCCCACACCTCTCTCTCCTGCAGCTGAGTGTAAACCACACCCACCTCCACAGGGCCCACTGCTGAAATTTACAGTCATGATGTGAATAAAAAAATACTTTATTCAATATAAATTCCTTTAAAATGCTGTATAAATAAAGGTTTTGCTATAACAGAAACTGTATTTAACTTATTTAGAGTTTAAGGTATTTTACTGTCATGGTTTGACAGATTTTCCTTGTAAGCATTTACAGTGCAGGAGCTGACCAAAAACTTAAACTGACATGCACTTTGAAATAATATCCATCTTGTTAACTTTTAGGTTTCTTATATATTAGTCTTGATATGAAGATGCATCTGCTGGTATCTTGATTATGAATTGTGTTTTGAACTCCCAACCTTAAAGCTCAAACTGCGCCTATGTATATATACTAGTGTTCACATTACTTGCTCATATCATATATGTCATATATGCAACTGCCGAAGAAATGGAGAGCTTCTTTTGCTGGCTTATTTTTCTCTCTATAACATGCTCGGGCTGAACCAGGCGGAAGTGTTAGGATTGCAGTGAAATGGAAGTGTTGCTGAGGAAAGCCAGGTTTTGCACAGGGTGACGAAGGAGAAAGATGAAACAACACCTTCTCCACATTCTTCTTTGTTTGAAACGATCCACAATAGTCGAGTCTGCAAATTACCTCCTATAATTTCCTAAATTCCGTGTTTAGCAACACCAGCCCACTCGTGAACCTCAACAAAGCATCTTGTTATGTTTGTTCCTGGAATCAGCAAAACCTTTATATCAGGTGTGAAGAACAATAGAGAAACTAAGACAATGTAGCCAGTGCTTGTCATTATTTTCCTAAACACCTTCCATCTGTGAGTTTTCAGGCTCAAAATTCCATGGTGTGTGTGTAGGCTGTAGCACTCGGATCGGAGGTCTGGCTGACTGACAGGTCTCGGTGGTGGTGGGCTTAGAGAAGGAGGCCGTCCCTCCCCAGGTATCCCGGTGAGATGTGGGTGGTGCACCTGACAGCTACTGATGGGAAAATTGCTGCCTCGAGTTGCCTCAGCACTGGCTGACCTTTTCAACAGTAAAAAGGAATGATATGACAGGGAAAATCATATGCCTGGATCTTTTTCACTTTTCAAATGCGGGGCTGTAAAAGTAAAATAACCCAACACACAAATGTCTGTTTTGCTCCAAATGTGCAGGTTGGGAAATGACTGTTTTGATCTGGATTGTCTGGATGTAGTGGGACACTTTATGCGAAATAGTTGTTTTCCTGTCTCTTTGAAATCAACATAATGTGGCTGGAGGTGCGGCGGTGCAACGTCTGACATACAGTCTGTCCAGATGATGTGGCCCTGCTGAAAGGGTTACTGTGGCAACAAAAACATGACTAAAACAACATTCTGCTGTCATGCTGGAGCTCAACAAAACATCACAGGGTGTTATGTGTGGGGGTGGGGGGACTGTTAACACTGATCACATCAGGGGTTGGCTGCAAAACATTCAAGATAACCAATGATACCATCGCGGGACAGAATACAGCATCTGATTTTGATAGAAGACAGTTTGATGACAGAATACAGTGCCAAGGTGTTTGGGGTCTTTGCCGGGTCTGACTACTGGCATCCAGGGTTAAGTCAGTTTAATGTTAGGAATGTGTGAGGGGTTAAAAAGGCATTTTTTATTTCATCTTGACTTTAAGACAAAATCAATGTTGTCATATTGTGAGTCTGTGGTCTAATGTGTATCTATTGTGGGGGTCTTTGACATAAAGTTTTGGAACCCCTGCCCTAACAAAATAACATTACAGACATTACCAAAAAAAAAAAAAGAAGAAGAAAAATGGCTAAAATAATCAAATGTATAAATACATTTTATAAGAACAATATTCCTTTTGCACAATGACAGTCATTCTATGCACATAAAGAAGCTATCCCTTATGTACACAGCAAATTATATACATTACACAGCAGCATCAGGAGCCCTCCTGTCTCATGCGCCCCTCCCTCTGAGAATCAGGTCACTCAGATCAGTGGGCAAGTGATTTATCAAACGCTGCCACACATGCATGAAGCTGCTGTCATAAGCTTTTGACAGTCTTTCCACTAGGAAACCCTCTAAAATATCTGTACAATGGATCAGTGTGTTCATTTAATTCTTTTATTCCCGCTAAGAATAGGAAGCACGTATTTCTTTCAAAATTGCATTTTACTCCTTATACATGACATTATTATTGTGAACAACCTCAAAAGATGGCATGTAACTGTCTATTTGCACTTCAAACACAAAGAAGATCTGGGGTCATGTCAAAACACAGTATGAGATGTTCAGAGATGCCTATATTATTCATTGTGCCTCTTTACATTTACAAAGAATGTTGCAGTGGGAGAGGTGGAAACATTCTTAAATCAAAACAGATTTTCTAAGCATGATTACTAGCTAGTTGTCTTTTTATTCTGTGCTTTTGCAGCTGAATTTGTTGGTGTATTGTAGATCTACCTGTGGATCAGTGGAATAGTTGGAACCATTGTCAGGAATGTGCATCACGTCAGCCGTGTGTGCGCATGAGGCAAACTAAACAGGGACCCACTCATTAAAAGACAGAAACTGCTCCATAGAGCTGCTGGGGGTCAAAAGGGCACCTTTAATATCTAATAAGGTTACCTTTAGACTCTTTAGACATTAGACATTAAAGCAGAGGTCTCAAACTCAAATTAGCTTGGGGCCACTGCTGGTAGAGGAGGGCCACTTCAACGTTCAAGAACTACAAGAAAGTGCAAGATTCTGAGGATATTTCCATTACCTAAAGCTGCAGTAGGTAACTTTTATAAAAAATAACTTGAAAATCTTTCACTATATCCTGACAG